TGAAAACTATGGTTTTCAGCAATATTTATATTCTTAAAGGTATAGTGACATTTGAAAAAGAAAATGGAAAAAAGAAGCGCATGCCATATAGCTATTGGATACTTTTCCATTTCGCCGGCGCAAATCTCGCCAAGCAGTCTTTATTGGCGACAACATACAGTACACACATAAAAAATGTTAACAAATGTTAGTTCTAAAAATTTTTTATTTTTGAAGGCATAAACATTTTAATACATCGTTTAAAATTTCTATAAAAAGGCCAACAAATAAAGACAAGTAAATTTGTAAAACGAACATTAATTTAAGAATTTACTATGCTTTCATAGTTACAGCATCCTGATTTGCTGGTTCATATCATGTGACCAGAAGTGATCTCATCTCACGTTAACTACACTACAAAAATCAAAGTCTTTCAGTAATTCTCTTACATTAATTTCAAGTTAAATCCATAGTTATTACAGTCAAAAGTCTTTAATCCAGACTCATCGGGACTTCAGCGATTCCGGTATTATTACTCAGAAATTATGTAAAACTGCAGTGCTTTACTTTGCTACAGCATTCTCATTAGAATTGATGAATTTAATCTTTAACTTTGCCTTTTCTATATTCTCTCAGTAGAATTGATGAATTTAACCCTTGACTTTGCCTTCAGGTGAGCGGTGTGATTGCATCCTAATTGACTTAAGTACCGCGAATGGCCTTAACACTTTATGTCTCAAATTATGATATATTTAGAAAACTTGTGCAATATATTTTTTATGCTCAATTTAACTGTAGAAAGACACACAAAAATTGAGATTCATTTACAAGAATTATTTTTTATTGTAATAACACAGAATATTACACAGGACTTTAAAGTCCCGTCGGGATTTATGTTTATTACATTGCCGTTACTTCCATTAGTATGAAGAAGAGAAAATATTAAATATAAATGAAAAGTAATATATTTTTACACAATTAATTATGGTATTGATAAAAGCAGTTCTTTTTTTCATTAACACAAAGAAATACTTTGCATAATATGCACTGAGAATGTGGTCGTGACTCAATTTTTTTCGAAGTACAAAACTCGCACCGTTCTCTATTTTTTACAAATACTGGCCAATGTGCACCTTTGTTTTGTTGTCTTATGTCATCAAAAACAGAAAAATTTGCTGTCTTGCGTTTTATTTGGGGGTGCTAATTTACTTATCTCACCAGCATCTCATCTAGGTCTTTCTCTTTTCCTCGAAGGCCCTTTTGACATTGTTATTAGACCTGGTGTTACCCTTCGTTTGTATTCTAGAAGGGGTATTTTATACTGTATGTCACAGTAGCAAATGTATGAGTTTACCATTGCAATTTCTATAATAATAATAATAATAAATAAATAAATAAATAAAAGACGATGTCACCACTTTTTGGCCTTTCTAGCTCTACCATATAGTGATTTTAGCATGTCACTTTTATCCACACCTCCCATATGACTGTTATAATCTCTTACTATTGTAGGAGCTGGTATATCCATAACTGAACCATCTTTTTATTTTCTTTGAATTTTACAATTTCAGTTCCATGGCAATTGGACAAGAAAAAAAACACAGCAATTGTCTTTCCATTTGAAGTATGAAATTCCTTGGTCTGTTATGCGACAGTCAAAATCACCCCTTTTCAAAGCTTTGTCTACTGCAAGAGACGGTAAACCTTTACGATTACTTTGTACAGTTCCACATGCATATATACCAACAGATTTTAAATATTCATACGATTCCACAGAGGGAAAAAAGTTATCCATCATTATGATGTGATTTTTATTTACAAGAGACTTGGTTAATTTCTGAACTATACTCCCTCCTAGACCAAATCTTTTAAATTCTGAATCATCTTTTCCCTGATATACTTCAAATTCATACATATAACCTGACATATCTGAACACACCATAGTTTGTATCCTCTTTTTATTGGTTTTTTAGGATTGTACTGCTTGAGCGTGGAGCGTCCTTTGAATAAAATCATGCTTTTGTCTATACTTTGTGTTTGATGAAGCATTCTCAGTGATTGAAAATTTTTATTTAGTTTATCCATAAGTGGTCTAATTTTATACAGTCTATCAGTATTTTGCTTTGGTATTACTTCATTGTCATTTACATGCAAGTTACCTAATATCTGGAAATATATTAGTTACATATTTCGTGAAAGAGTATCAGGAACAACAGGTACAGTATAATCTATATCATTGCTCCAATAATTTCGTACTCGAGGTAAACGGTGGTAGCTAAATAGCATATTTAGTAGGATTTTATATATGCTAAATAGCATATTAAAATCCATAAAATTCCTCTTTAAAAATAGGCTTTATATTCCTTTGTTTTTGATTTGAATAGAGGTTTGTTTGAAATACAATATTACTTATAATTTCATCATCTAAAAATGTTTTAAAAAAAATCGGTACGCAATGTTTTACCTTCGAAAGCTGATGCACATGCTCCATGGGATAAGCTAAATATAGGGACAGTTGATGTACAATCTCTTTTCTTCCAAATTCTTTTTGGTGTCATTTCTTCACTTTCAGTGTCTTCACTTGAATCGCTTTCAGAGTCTGAAATTTTATGAATGTTTGTCGTATTTAAACTTTGATTATTTGTTTTATTTTGCTCTGGTGAATCTTCGTCAGAACTACTGTCCTCTTCTGATGTTTCAACATCAGATGGTAATTCATGCCAGATAATTTTAATTTCTTCCTGCGTCAAGCCTTTTCTTCGTCTATACATTATTCTAAAAAAAAAAAAAAAAAAAAAAAAAAAAAAAAAAAAACAGAAATCGAAAGTATTTTGTAAAAGGGAGAAAAACTATTTTATTTAAATTTAGATACCATATTTTATACAATAATGGATTTATACATAAAAGTAGTAGAACATAGAATTAACCTATTAGTGGGCAATTGTTATGTGAAACAATCACTGTTAATTACCACTACCGTATATACGGTACCTATCGTAAAATATGAACATGAAATAAATCGTAACATTTCTATCTAGCTAACAGTTTCTACAATTAGTGATTAATAGTAAATGTCTTTATTCACTGTTTTCATCACTGGAATCCTCGCAGCTCTTTTCGTCAGACGCAGATTCATTTCTTCTTTCCTCCTCATCATCAACGTCGTCATCCTCGGCGTTCTAGAGCTCGTCATCTTCACTGCCATTCAATGAATTTGAAATGCAGCATTTCTTGAAAGATTTCACAATCTTTGGTGCTTCGATGCTTTTCCAGACAACAGAAATTCAGTGCAACAATGTGCGATGCAGCACGCTTAATTTTTCCTGTTGGGGTCAATTCGCTGTCATCGGCGAACTTTGCACTCAAATCTAATGCGCACCCCAATTTTGAATACTACATTTGGCCGAAAACGATGCGCATTAGATTCGCGTAAATACGGTATTCAACAAAACACAGCACAAAATCTGAGATCAGGAACTGCTGGAAATCTAAACAATTTCGGATTTTAGATAATTTAAACCCAGCAAGATAATATGAGAATTTATAAAATTAAAATCATGAAATAATTTTCTACGAAGCAATAAGCATTAAGGGAATCAAAATTTACCAAAAAAAAATCAATATCTACATGTTCGTTTTATTAAACATTCTTTCAATGTAGTTTTTTAAGCTTCTTCCTTTTTTTTTTTTTTTTGTGTGTATTCATACCTTCTTTTTAATTTTGCAGATAAACACAATTTCTTGTTCAATTATAAAAGTCCACTGTTCAGTACTGGAATTGTCATGCCTTGAATTCCACTAAACTGTCAACGGAAAACTTTTCATTTCCTAAAACCTTTCTGTCACTTTCTTCACTCTCAGTAGTGATATTTTCTGGATTTAAAAACCATATGACAGATCTTGCCATCCTTTGATTGACTGATAATCGGTGTACTGTCATTGCAATGGGAAATTTCTGTTTTATCATCTTAATTTATAATCACTTCTCCACAATTCTTAAAAATTCCCATAAACTGGAGAATTTTGCCTTCTAGGGCGTTTAAAATCTATGTCAAAATAACTTTAAAATTTACATCAAAATAATATAATTTTGATTAATTTTGAAAACGTAATTTAAGCCCAAATAGCACTGCAGCTCCTACAGAAAGCTAGTACCAAACATGCTTCCGCTCAGCAGATCCTACCTACTACAGCTCCAAAATTAGAATATCTTTTCATCATAAACGAAAACTTTAATAGATTTAACAATACTAGCTGGCAAAAAATAATAATCTGGGTCAAATTAGGAAGTTAAGGAAGAGCACAATTTGCTTTGCTAACTGAACTGAAGTTCTTCAGAATCTGATTCTTTCTTTTCTTCTCACTACTTTCTTAAAAAATGACAATCCTTTTTAGCATCTTCTTAAAAAATTACTATATCTTAGGATTTCGCATTTTGTTTAGGTCAAACAGTAAAATGTTCTCTACAGGAAGTGTAGTCGTAGCTAACATTAATCAATATATAACTCCTTAAACGAAAGCGAAATGCAAAGCTGCTACACAAGTGGCATTATCTGATGACCTTCAATATATTAAAAATAAAGGAGTAATTATTCAAATATTGGCCTTTACTCACAAAATTGGACTCACCACCTTATTGCTTCATGGACTTTCCTCAATTTTATATTACTGCTTACTAAATAATATCTAAGCTTTGTGTTGCTTTTCCCCAAGATTATGTACCCAAGGCTCTCTCCAGAAGCCACATCCACCAAATCTGGTTGCTGGCCTCTCTCTCCAACCGAACTTTACTCCTGACCAGTGTTGGTGGTCTAGATGTCCAGATATGAGATCAACCCAGATACTGGATGTCCGAATTTCAGACTTTGTGCTGTACTTCACAGTATTAAAATATTTAAAAAACACTACACATTGACAAAAAAATTAACAAAAAAATCTAAATACACTTTCATTAAAAAAAATATATTCACACATAAAAAATAGCAATACAAAAAGGGGAAAAAAATTATTTTTATTTTAAATGCAATTTTCTAATTAATGAGCATTTTACAGTGATATAATATTCCAAAACACAAATTTCATTTTGCATTTTTTTTTTTAATTTTTTTTAGAAAACTAGTCAATACATTTTAATATTAAGAAACGAAATAAGATCTGGTTGTAGGTTTAACAAGTCCTTAATTCTATGGCCATTAAGATTTATAGATAAATCACCAAAAAGCACACACGGGAACTCAATAAACTTATGTTTTTGCCAGGAAAGAAAATACACACATTTCAGAAAATAGATATAAAAAGATTACTCATTATCAAAACCATCTAATAATTAGAAGGGTTGGGGTTAAAAAAAAGTAAAACTTTTATTCCAAAACAATTTTCTTATCAAATATTTCAAAATACTGAAAAATCAACTTTCATGCTGAACTATTATAATAATCAAATATCAACTGCATCTTCGTATACAGCTTTCATATAAGAAAATAATCACTTCAAAAGCAAACTATTCAAAATGAATGTTCAGTGAATTTTGAATAGTCAGGCTGCTATGTAGACAGAAGAAATTGCATTAGAAATTTTGTGTTTACAGAAATATTTTAGGATTCAAAATGATGAAAATTTTCTGATTTTATTTTAATCATTTTTTTTTATCTACCTGGCATAAAATGTAATTATTTTGCTTTTTTATTTGTTACCACTATCAATACACTTTTACTATTAAAAAGAAATATATTTCACAGTTGACTTCTGAAATTCCTACTCTGCTTTACTTTAACAGAGCATGCCAGTTATTCACAACTTATAATTACAGTAAAATCTTACTTGACCAAAATGGTAAACAGAAACAACCATATTCATGATGGTGCTATTTTGAGTGTATAATTAAATGCATTTTTAAACCCTGTTTCAAAGTAAAACTTTTATTACATATACTACACACATATGGACGTTTTCCTTCATGAAATCTCATATGAGTTCTGAGGTTATCCTCCCTTATAAAGCCTTTACTACATACAGTGCATGAAAATGCACGTTCTCCAGTATGGATTTTTAAATGTCTGTGCAAATTTCCTTTCAGACTAAAGATTTTCTGGCACACTTGACAGGTATACGCATGACTACCAGGATGCTGAACTTGCTGCAGCAGATGATGATCATCAGATGATAGAAAAGTCTTATTAGAGTAGGAGAAGGATATTCTTTCACCATACATCATTTTAAGATTATTTCTTTCTTTTAGAAGTTCTAAAGAGAAAAATAAATGAAATAAAATTAAAACAAAAAGTCCTTTTAACCTATAATGTGTAATCAGGGTGAAAAACAGTAACAAATATATTAATAAACATCACTACTTTGGAAGTACCTTTTCCTCAGATAATAATAATAATACTCATAATTTTAACTACAACTTTAATCTGCATGAAAGAAGTAATTAATAACAATAATGAATTCTTAACAATAACAAAGCCTTTTAATGATGGATGATGGAAATGATAAGCAGGTTAAACAGAGTGACTGTTTTATAAGATGAGAAAAGCAAAGCAAAAAATCAAAACTTTTCACTCAATTGAAATAATTTATTTATTAACAATTATAGACATTAATTTCAATATATACTAAAATGACTTCATTCTGCCAATTTTTTATTCCACATGTAAAATATCCTTGCTAAAAATTAATATTTAATTTTAAAAAACTTGTAATTTTAACAAATAACTAATTCCATTCTATAGAATGATAAAGACAAGAAATTCTGATGCTTATAATGTTATGCATATTAGAACTGAAAATACACACATTTAAAGTAAAATCTGTAAATCTAGACAAATCAACTAAGTTCTCACAATGCTTTTTACTGTTACCGTAACATTAAAACAATTATCAATTTTTGGAATATGCAAATACAGATTAAAATAAAAAAGCTTTACATCCACAGATCTGACTCATATTCACAAAGCTTTCTCTTTTCCATTTTATTTGTCAGTGGAAAAAATGAATAAAATTAAACTCAAGTTTGTACTCATCAAAAGGAAAAAGCTATAAAAAAATGTTTAATTTAAAAGAAGTTTCCCTATAATGCTAAAAAAATCAGCAGTTCTTTAGATGGTAGGGATACTTACCTTAAGCTGATTTATAAGCCAAATTTTAAGCCTTGATACTGAAGGTTTGTTAGATATCTATGAATTGGCTTGCAATATTTCCATAAATTACACGCATGCAGTAAACTTACCTGCATGCAGTTTGACTTGGAGTTTTTAAGATGTGTCATGCATGGCCATCATATATGATGGAGGTTGAGCAGCATACAATCAGGGAGATGCCTCTGAGCCATTCAAAATAGTTTGTCAATGTCCTTTCATAAAAACACGATTGAATAAAAAGAAATTAAATTTTATAATCTTTAGATTTTAGTTGATTACTAAAATATGCACTTTCAAACTCTTGCAAATAGCAGTTAGAAGAATTAGAGTACTAAAAATATCCACTGTTTGTATTAATTTGTAAATCAATTCTTTCTATAACTTTAAAATTTTAAATCAAAGCTGAAATCAAATTTAACTATAATGATAAAAATGTGAATACCTACAAATAAGGAACAAAAAACTACTACTATTTTATCAAGTTGCAGTAGAAATTGATAGGTACAGTACAAAGTCCGAAATCCGGACTCGTCGGGACTTTGGTGATTCCGGACTTGGGGTTTTCCTGATATTAGATCATCAGTTTAAATCTAGTAAGATCTAGTAAAATGGTATGTAGAAATTATAAAACTAAAAATATGAAATCATCATTTATGAAATAATGAAGTATTTATGATATAATGGTATCAAAATTTACAAAAAAAAAAAAAAAAAAAAAAAAAAAAAAAGCTTAACATTTATTTGTTTACCTTATTAAACATTTCTTTCAATACAAGTTGTTTCGTTTTTTGTGCTAATACTTTCTCTTTAATTCTGTAGATAGACATAATCTCTTGTTCAGTTACATTGTTGAAGTCCTGTAACTGCTGTTTCGAGAATTCCGACCGACTTGTCAATCGAAATTTTCTTGTTTTCAGTAACTTCTCTGTCACTTTTCTTCACTATCGGCAGCAGTACTTTCTGGATCTACAACCATACTACAGATTTCGCCATTCATTAATTGATTGATGATTGAGAAGAATTGTCCTCACAATGAAAAATTTCTTTCATATCATCTTCATTTATTACCGCTTCTCCACATTTCTTCACAAAATCCGTTAATTGGAAAATTCACCTTTGCTTTGCGATATCCAAAAACATTTAAAAATTAGCAGCTATCATCATCAAATTTAGCTATCTTTCACTATACATATTTGGCTATGCATCATGAGCTTGGCGACTAATGACAAGTTGTTTCGTTAAATTTTATCTTGCTTCTATTGTGCACTGAGGCAATTAAGCCTGAATTGTATCAGTTTAGTTATTTATTATACTTACGCCTATTTCTTGCACATGCTTTAGTCTTATCAGAGTTCTGAATACATAAATTCAAACATATATTTAAGTCTAATTGAAGACCGGCACTAGATATCTTACCACCTGATGCAGTCTCTGCGAGTTTTAAATTCTGTGACTCGGTGCGGCCATATGAGCTCTGGCACTGGTTCTGGGTTTATGTGAATAACAAATCAATTATTCTCAATTAAAATAGCCCTAAATGTAATCTTTGGGTGTATGAATATCATCAACAAAATCTATTTTTAGCATATAGAAAGAAATTTTTGGTAATTTTTTTCATCATCAGCATTTTTTAGCACATTTAACTTAAATCTGTAATCATCGCCAAGCATAATGTCAACATAAAAGGTTACCATACTCCTTTATTATTCAATTACTAACATAAAAAATTGTTTAGGCATCGCTACTTGAGTCATTACTCAAGTTGTCATGCTTTGATAAACATGTGGTGATAAAAGGAAAGTACAATAAATAATGATTCGACAGGTTGGTGTCAAATCACGATGTATCTATGTGGAATGTTTCAGTTTGAGATATGTGCCAAGCAGATATGCAGCAAGAGAGCCAAATTACTGATCATAAAAATTTATGCTAAAAATGATTGTTTCTTCAATAACAAGGTATTTTATTGTGTCGAAATGAAACTAAGAATCAGAACTCTCTAGATGTTTTATTATGCACAGATAGGGGAATCAAATGTGCATACGCAAAGCCTACGAGAAAAACAGTGTTGGTGATTTTGAAGTCCAGATTTTAGATCATTCCAGATAACGGACGGCCAGATTTCAGACTTTGTACTGTATTATTAAAAATTTTAAACTTAAAACTTATCTCATATTGAACCTTTGCTCTTTTGAAATACAGTTTACCTCACATCATCTGCATATATATATATATTTTAATTCTCATATGGCTTATTTAGCTTTCTAAGCCATTTTGCATGCAAACTAATTCTATTTGATCAGTCTTGTTCACATCAAAAGTGTTGTTACGAAGAACACAGAAAATATATAAATCAAATATATTTAAAACAGTTCGTTCAGTTGCGGGCCTGCCTCTACCCGAGGCTGGGTGCATTATGAATAAAGACAAAAAAATTCTTAATAAATCATTCTTTATTTCCATCAAAACAGTATCACTCTTCCGAGATCAGCTTTCGTTCGTCCACACGCAAAACCATTCGAAAACACTCTTACCTGAATTCTCAAGACTTAATAAGAGATTAAAAGTATAGAACTAAATTGTTAAATGATCTGAGACAACGATTTAGAAAAGAATACCTTAGTCAACTGGTTCAAATGCATAATGAAAAGCGATCTCGGGAACCTGTAGTAGGAGAAATAGTACTGATGGGGGATGATAACAAAAAACGTTTATTTTGGCCTTTAGCCCGAATTACAGAATTGATCCCTGGACGTGATGGAAAGATTCGCACGGTTAAACTTAAGACCCGGCATGGAATAGTTATACGACCAATACAACGCATCTTTCCTCTGGAGATACAGTCCAATGATAGAAACATAATTCCTGATAAGAAACTGGGTGCAGAGGAGTCTAATTCTAGTGCTGGGTGTACGTTAAAAAGGGGAATTGCACCTGATAAAATGGTGATGCAACAATATTCCTCCTCTGGACGACTTGTAAAAGTTCCAAAAAGACTTGATCTTTTAAATAATGTTTGTTATGAGTTTGAGACTCAACCTGAGTCTCAAGGGGCCGAGGATGTTGTGAAATGAACTGAAGTAATAACCGGCGCGAGGCGCTGCTGTTTTGTGACGTCAGCCTGCGTGCTGAATGTTTTCGAATCTTTTTGAGTGTGGACGAACGAAATCTGAGCTCGGAAGAGTGATACTGTTTTGATGGAAATAAAGAATGATTTATTAAGAATTTTTTTGTCTTTATTCATAATGCACCCAGCCTCGGGTAGAGGCAGGCCCGCAACTGAACGAACTGTTTTAAATATATTTGATTTATATATTTTCTGTGTTCTTCGTAACATAGTGGTACCCTCGGCGGGACCGGGTGCTTTGAATTAGAATTTTCCGATTGAACTTTTGATATTGAATTTCGATTTTGAATATACTTTGAAGATGGATTTGATCGCTTTAAAGGCCCAAAGAAAAGGACTTAGAATTGCGTTTACGCAAACCTCAAGGAAAACCGAAAGTGAATTAAACTAAAGAAGTAAGAGATTTAATAATACTTTCGATTTTGAAGTGTCAACTTTGTGATAAATTCCAGAGACTTGACGTATGCCAGAGTGCTATCTCGCAGCAAATTCTGCAGACTGAAGATGGAGAAAAATTATTTAGTGATGATTTTCAAGAAGCGGAGGAATTACCGAGATAAGTTTCTATAACAGTGTGCTCAAATAGATGCGGAAATACAAGCCTCCTTCTCCTTCCAAGTAATCTCCGAATCGAGGAAATTTAAATTGCCTAAAAATTGAGCTTAAAAAATTCAGTGGTGAAGCTAAAGATTACCTGACTTTTTGGAGTCAGTTCCAGAAAATCCACGATGATAAAAAGTATCGCCGATGAAGATAAAATGCAGTATATGTATTGCAGGCCATGGAACCCAAATCGAAGGCAGAACGCCTAGTTCTTAGCTTCCCTGGCAACGGCAGCTAATTATCCTAAAGCCATCGAACAACTAAGAGAGCGCTTTGGACGCGAAGATTTACTTGTGCAAATCTATGTGAGAGACTTGTTAAGCCTAGTGATGAAGAACGCTGTAACCGGAAGAGCAAAAACGGATCTACCCTCC